TCGATCACAATCATATGTATCCGTGGCATTGTCCTACGAAACATAGGTCGCCTTAATTTTCACCCCCGGTTCAACATTCTCGATGCTTTTCTCACCATGAAATATCCAACACGTATAACTTCGATCAATTCCACGCATTAGTAAATGCGATTTCAATCCATCTGCGTCAACCCGACCCATATAACAACAACCCAAGCAAGGACATTTCATTTTATTCGGGTCTTCAGCGTGTTCAACAGCAAACTTAACGAACTCTAATACCCCATTCTCGTACTCTTTTGACAATCGATCGGCACACATCCATTTTTTATCCATGGTTTTAACTATTATCTAAGTTAAACAAAAACACTAATTAGGGCACAAAACGGTATAATGTGTTTCTGTCAAAACACAAAGTATACACGGATTTAAAATAAATTTGAGTTCTAAAAAATAAATTTGGAGAAAATATAAAAATTGATCTAAAGTTCCAACATAACTAAGGAATACCATATCATAAAAATTGGTTAACTATGGTTTCAGTTCGGTTATTGAACTGTTTGATGACATGTGGTTCGGTTCATAAACTATGAATAACGGTTCGGTTATTTAAAAACGGTTCAGTTCGGTTCTGTGGTTCAGTTCAGTTCTGTGGATTTTTTGAACACCCCTAATTATGATTTATTTTTTCTTCACATTATCAATACAATAACCACAAGTTCACGAATCTCACTACACATTAGATTTTCATTTTAATCTATAGTGTATGCTTTTATTATTCAAGTGAATATGTCATTGTTACGTGAACCTCTTGTGTTGATTATTACTAACTTGGATTATAAGCAATGTGGTGGGAGTATAATGAATTTAAAGAGTGTGTGTTGTCAACAAAAATCAAACATGTGATTAGAACAATTCTAGAAATAAAGATTGTAACGTGTGAGTGAAAGGAGCATAGCCACGAATGTGGTCCAACCTTAGAGGCCTAGTTCATGTTACTGTTGTGGTCCTATAACATATTCAATAAATGATCGTCAACGTTACAATTTTAGAGACATTAGCTTAGTTGTGAACTCATTCAAAGATTCATGATTTGTGTTATTTTTTACTATTACTAAGTTGAATACTAGATTGAACAAACGAAAACCTATGATCCAAACTCAAGTAAACCGGAAAAAGTCCTCTCGCCGCGATAAACTCATTGAAAGGACCATTAACATTAAGAGTACTAGTAATCACAATAACATTCCTCTCAGCCATAACCGCCGCAAAAGATCCCGAACCAATTCCAATATCAAAACCTATTCTAATCCCACCATTTCCTAATTGTAAAACATCATCAACAAGAAAATCATTCTTACTCTTAGACTTAAAAAATCTTTGATTCTCATATCCATTAACCAAATCAAAGCAATGAACACAATCTCTTTGAAACTATTGCAGTTAAAACCATTCCAATTCATTGTTTTATTACTAACAGGCTTCCATAGTGAAACCAGAAAAGGATGAAGAAATGTTACCTTAGATGAAATCGATTTTGTGAAACTCTTCTTCTAGGTAAAGGCTCAGACTGTTTTTGAATCAGTTTCTCTGCTAAACTCCAATCATCTTGACAATTTCCAAACACATTGTAATTCATGTAACGAGACAACAAATCAGAAGCTTTCTGGCATGAACCACAGTTGGACGGTGAGGAGACGAGTTGGAGAAGAGTTAGAGGAAGAACCACGGTTGAACGGTGAATGGGAGGAGACGAGTTGGAGAAGAAGATGAACAGGAGCGATTTCTGGAAAGCGCTGTCTGGGGTTTTGTTTGTTGGAACTTGGGATTTCTGGAAATATGATAACCAATTTAGGGATTAAGACAGTATTTAATTACCTTAGACAGCGCTTTCAAGAAGCGCTGCTAAAGGTATTACCTTTAGCAGCGCTTTAGGCTTTAGCAGCGCTTTTAGAGTAATGCCTTTAGCAGCGCTTCTGGAAAGCGCTGTCTAAGGTATACCCTTTAGCAGCGCTTATGGAAAGCGATGTCTAAGGTATACCATTTAGCAGCGCTTTAGGCTTTAGCAACGTTTCCTAGAATAACACCTTTAGCAACGCTTTTAGTAAGCGATGTCTAAAGTATAACCTTTAGCAGCGCTTATTCTAATTTTTTAATTTTTTTATTGAAAACCTATAGCAACGCTTAGGGAAAGAAAGCGTTGTCTATGGTAAGGCCTATAGCAGCGCTTATAATAAGCGTTGTCTATAGTATACCTTTAGCAGCGCTTCTCCTTTAATTTTAATTATTAATTTTTCTGAAAACCTATAGCAACACTTTAGGCATAAGCGTTGTCTATGTGGCGTTGTCTAAAGTCAATTTTGGCATAGTGTCTATATAGTGTAGTACCTTTGTGTTGATAGGTGAACAGAGAATGATCACAGTGACTAGCAAGAAAACCCAATTGCACTAAGGCTTAACACATTTTATCATACCACGCACGCAGAGCCTGCTTAAGGCTGTAGATTTCTTTTTGCAGTTTGCACACAAGTGATGGATCATGATCTTCAAATCTAGGTGGTTTCTGCATGTGGACTTCTTCCTACAGTTCACCATTTAGAAATACGTTGTTGATGTAAATTTTTTTGGTATCCCACGCGTAAGTCACTGTAACTGTGAGAATAATTCTGATTGTTGTGGGCTTGATAACCGGGAAGAAATTTTCATGATAGTCAAACTCTTCTTGTTGGTGAAACCCCGTGGCAACTAGTCGGGCTTTGTGCTTGTTAATTATTCCATCGGGATTTTCTTTGAGTTTGAATACCCACTTACACCCTATGTCTTTTCTATGAGGTGGTGGTGTGGTTAAAGTCCATGTTTCATTGGCTATGAGGGATTGGTACTCATTTTTCATGGCTTTGAACCAGTTTGGGTTAGAGATGGCTTATTTAGTGGTTGTAGGTTTTGAATGCACAAGGAATACTTTAGGTTTATAGTTTCATGTTTTGGCCTTTGTTAACACGCTATGATTGTTAACTAATAGTAAGGGTGGGTGAGATGGCTCGTGAAAGGACGAAGAAAGAGAACTTGATGAGTAGAGTGATATTATACAAGTGAGTTTATAGATAAATACAATGGCTTAGGGTGTATGTTACCTCCTCCTTAAGTAGAACTGGATGCTAGATTGTTTTGAATTAAGGTAGCAGGTGACTCATTATTTAAGGTATTGATAGGCACGATTGTAGGGCTTGATTCCCTTTGACTGTAGAGTTAGAAGTATTGAAGGGTGATGCATTGTGTTGTGAAGTGTTCCCTCGAATAGAGGTTTCATGTACCACTTCATCAGATGTTGCTAGAGGTGGTTGATCATGCCTAGGTACCTGATTCTGAGAGACAACTAGGAGTGATAAAGACTGATTTTGAGGCATTGAGCTAGTGGGTGGCTCCTCATGAAGTTGTTTATAGTGGAATTCAGCTTCATTGAAGGTTACATCTTTGGAAACATATATCCTTCCACTTGTATCCATACATTTGTGGCCTTTGTGTGTTGGTGATACTCCCAAGTAGATATATTTCTCACTTCTAAAACCAAGCTCATGTTAATGATATGGTCTTAAGTGTGGATAACACGCACAACCAAATATCTTCAAGCTTTTGTATTCTGGATGCTTTTTATTGCAAGGCATAAAAGGTAGTGTTATTATGCGTCGGGGTAGCTATGGGTAGCATGTTGATGAGGTAAACAGCTATTGTGAAGCTATGATCCCACACTTCCATAGGTAAAAATTCATGTGCAAGAAGATTCAGTCCCATTTCCACTATTTATCGATGTTTCCTTTTGACTTTGTCATTTTGATGTGAAGTGTAAGTGCATGTTAACCTGTGTTTGATGTCAAGTTCATTCAGATACTTCATGAATGGCTTGAATTCGCCACTAAAATTTGATTGAATGGTTTTGATCTATGAGTTAAACTGAGTCGTGACATGGTTGTGAAAGTGCTTGAAAGCTTTAAGTGCATCACTTTTCTGTTTGAGCATATAGATCCAAGTATACCTCGTACATGCATCAACAAATGTTATCTAATATGAGAAGTCACTTGCGGAAGGGCTTGGTGATGGACCCTAGAGGTCAGTATGACTTAATTCAAATGGGAATTCATAAGATGAATGAGTGAGAGGTGCATGCAATTTATGAGATTTTCCTAAACAACACATAAGACAAACAAAAACAAGTTTTTCATTGCTAAAAGGAATTTTACACATTGTAAGAATTTGACATACAGACTTAGAATTCGTATGGGGCCATGTAGTTACATTGTCTCTAAGGTTCATGTTAAGACAATCATTGTTCACAACTAAGTACACATAAGGAGACTTATTTAACTGTAAACTAAGAGACTTAGGAAGGTCCTTGTTGCATTATAGGTCACATTCATCAAGAAAACCTTCAAGCACAATGCGATTAGATGCATGTGATTCACAAAACATTTTTAGCTGATAATTCAAAATAAACTTTGTTGTCTCTAGCAATCTTAGAAACTAATAAGAGATTTCTTGTGATACTTGGCATATAAAGAATGTTATTGAGTATGAGATTTATGTTAGATATGCATGATGGAAAATATGCAAATCCTATAGCTAAGGATGGCAGACATACCCAAACCTGTGGGGTCCACCCGCACCCGAATCCAAGTCAACGAGTGAAAACCCGAGTTGAATGAGTTCGGGTTCGGGTTCGAGTGTCACCCAATATTTCGGGTTCGGGTTTGGGTTCACTCAAACCTACACCTGAAACCACACCTGTTTACACATTAAACTACATAACTACCCCTAAATATATATAAGGCAATAAGTGTAAACATTTAGGGTTTCCTTCACTTTCACCCTTCATCACATTCGTCCCAGCACTTCATCACTCAGTCCTCCTCCTTTACTTTGATCGTCGTTTCTGTATCATCACCATCTCCAATTTCCCTCCGACGCGTTTCTCTTCCCACCTTCATCACTCTCGTTCCAGCAAACCTCAGTCTTTTCTACAACACATGTCGTCTCCTCTCAATACTCGCAACATCATTGCACATCTTCAACATCGCGACCTCCTCCACCAGTCATCCTCGCAATTCTCTCACTTTTCCATCACCACTAAGGTTATTTTCAATCATTGTATCACACTTTCAGCACAATTTCAGTTAAAATTCAATTTCAGTTTCAGTTGAAATTTAAGTTGATATTTCTCCATTGAAATTCAATTTCAATTGGTTATGTCACACTTTCTGCACATTCTGAAATTTAATTTCAGAAATTCAATTTCACTTTCTGCATAAATGTATATTGATAGTAGAAGAAAAACAACAAAATTCTTGTTATAGGATGAGCCAACCATCCAATATCCCGATTCGATTTGGTTCATTTCTTTTGATTCCTTTTTGTTTTTGCAGCAACAGTTGAAAAAACAACATCTTCCAACAACATCACAGTATCAGCCTTCCACTCTCCAACAGCAACAGTTGAAACAACAATGGGCACGGGCACGGTGAAAGCTTCGAACTTGGTTTATTATCCTCAAGTTAGGTCAAAATTTCACTTTATAGGATAATCAAAGATTCACGAGTAATTTTCCATTGAAAACATTTCCCTCCCCTATGTTTTGGTGTTTGACACTTTTGTTACCTGCTATTGTTATTGATTTTCTTTGTAATAAAGAAATAACATGTATTCAATGTTATAAAATAGTAGTTGACATTTTTTTGTTCCTTTTTTACCTTGTAGCCTCAATATTGAACCCTTTCACAAAATTCACATTGTTCAGAAATCCAAAGTATAAGAATGCTGGGACATTTTTAACATTATCAGATTTTTTGTCATTGACAAAAAAAGACTTCTCTATTAGGCGTCTTGATCATTGTTGAGGTGTGTTCTATCATTGCTTTTATACTCGTATAGAATTCATTCTTTCAGCTTCTACGCAAACTCACAATATTGATAAGATTAATGCAAATTTGTATGCAAATGGTTTAGGGACACTTACTCCATTGTATTTACCTGGTTTCACCTTGTTGTTTTAAAGGTATGCACCTTGTTTGATCAAGGATATTAAGTCTATTTTGTATTGTTTTTTCATTGTTAAGACACTTGTGAGTATGAGATAATACAAACATAAAAGGACTGGCCTTCCTGAAAATGACATTTCTATGAATTTCAGTTTTAATATTTCCTCACTTACTCTTCATTGCTGAATTACTTCGAACAAAAGAAAAACAATTTGGTTTCTATTTGGGCATTAGTTCGTTTTATAATGATTGTTGCATACTTTAGGCCTATAAATGTTTTGTTTAAAATTTAATTTTCTATTGAATAACATTATTGTTTTGGACTGGGCCCGCCTTGTCCCAAAGTGCAAACAAAGGCCCAAATCCAGGAAGTTCCTCGAGGAGTGCTCACGATCAGATCGTCCCGAGCGTGCTTGACCATAGACCATAGCGGCAATGCCCGCTGTTACCCGCGACGAGTAGCGTCCCCGACCAAAGGACACTCCAGCTCGAGTCTTCCTCGAGCATCCTCCCCATAGGGCAGATTATGTCCCCTCCGAACGCCATGGGATTCTTAAAGCCTCGAAAAGACTGTGTCTTCCTCATTCTTCGCAGAGCACCACCCAGGAAGGGGACCACGTGCGGGTCCCCACTACACACGTAGAACCTGGCAGTTCCTTTATTGGGCCAGTTCTGGTCGGTCCAATGAGGGGACCTTGGCCCAGCACTGGGGGCTATAAATACCCTCTATTCTAAGATGGTCAGGTATTCATTTTTTACACGCCTACATACTTTTTGCCTGCCAATTCCGTCTCTCATTTTAGCATCGGAGTGTCTTGCAGGTACCCACCATCTCACTCAAATCCAGTTCAAGCCAGCTGTGACGGTCCAAGTCTGATCCGGTAAGATCAGTGGCGCCGTCTGTGGGAATCTAGCTTCCCCGTCTTACAAACTCTCAAAGACCAAAGCTAAAAACCATCTTCCACCGTCATGGATGACCAAACTCGGGACGACCAGAACGTTCGCATCGTCGATGCCAACAACAACCTCGCGGACAAGAACGGAGTCCCCGACAACCCCGGCCATACTACACTCCCTGGGGGCGTCATCCCCGGGCCCTCAGGCCACCGGGACGGAGCCACGGCCTCATCTTCTTCAGTCCCCCCTCCGCTCGAAGAAGATAATACAGCTCCCCCAAACTATCTAGCCGCCAAATTCCAGGAGGTCCCTGTCCCCGCTGGGGCAGACGCCACGACCAGAGCACCGTTCGCGGCAATCAACCAGACCAACTACCTCATCTTTGCCCAAGGGGAAAGATTGAAGGCGCTAGAGGACGACAGAAGACCACCGAGGATACACAGGAGGCCTCAGTCCCCGCCTCCTCGAAGAACAGAGGTACGTCTCCCATCTCCCCCACAGAGACAATACAGAGACACCTTTCGAAGCCCGTCACCCCAACAACCGGGGAGGCGATCCCCCTTGGAGAGGGAACCAATCATTGAATCCGAAGGGCGCAACCACGGCCCTTTACGGTAAGAACGAAGACATCCTGGAGACAGGCACGGAAGGACGGATCAACGAGCACACCGCTCGAGGGACGTCCAACACGATCAGGACCGTCGTACCCGACAATACCTTAGATCCCCGTCCCTTTCCCCAGAGCAAAGTGATGAGGACGACCCCCGCGGTCCCCTATCACAAGCCATCATGGAGGCACCAATCCCCCCGGGCATGGAGAAGCCCCCTCACCTGAAGGAATACGACGGAGTCGCCGATCCAGTCGATCATATAGACAGGTTCAAAGCTATGCTGCACTACCATAACATTGGGGGACCCATCAAATGCCGGTTGTTCCCCACAACCCTCAGGAAAGCAGCAATGGATTGGTACAAGGGTTTTGCCCCGGGGTCAATCACCTCGTGGAAAGCAGCAATGGATTGGTACAAGGGTCTTGCCGCGGGGTGAATCACCTCGTGGAGAAACTTGAAAAACCAATTCATAAGCTCGTTTACCGCGTCACGGCGACATCCAAAGACCGAAGCGGCGCTCGAGGCTATCGTCCAGAGGCAGGATGAAACCTTGAGAGAATTCATCAACCGCTTCAACCGTGAAGCCATCCAGGTCCCCTGCGTGGACCACATGAAGAGATACTTGCTGGAGAGAGGACTCCTCCCCGACACAGAGTTCAGAAAAGCAGTGGGCATCGAACCGCCCCGAATGTTCGATGTTGTCCTCGAGAAGGCCAGGGCCTATATGGACTACGAGGAAAGGGAAGCGGCCAACAGAGCTCGTGACCCCAGAACTCGCGGATCCAGCAGCAACCCGCGCCAAGAGGCCTTTCCTCCTCGATGAGCCGGGGAGAAAAGAAAAGACGACAAACCCCGAGAAGTCCGAGAACAAAGAGGATCCTCGGGGCGTTTCACAGAGTACACTCCGCTCACGGCTTCCCGCGAGTGCATCTTGGCGGAGTGTGCCAGTACGGATTCCAAAGATGGCAGCGTCAAGCGCCCCTGACCAGCTCCTGCCAAGCCCGGGGTGGACAGGAGCAAATACTGTCAGTACCATAGGAGCCATGGTCATCTGACGAAGGACTGCGTCCACCTCAAGGACACCATCGAGACCCTTATAAAAGGGGGGAGACTCGCCCAATACCGGCGAAACGATAGTCCTTATCGCGACGCCCGTGAGACAAGAGAATCGGAGGAGGAGGCCCGACCATCTGACGAGTCGGTCCCCATCCAGACCGCCTTCTCTGTCACAATACCTTAGGACTTCTACGTCCTCGAGCACTTGCAAGAGCCGTTGTCAACGCACAGCAGGTGGGAGCATTTTCCCTCTGCCATGGTCATCAATGGTGGAGGATTCAACGACCTAACCATAAATTTGGCCAAGAGGAAGTTGGATGAACTGGTCGACTTTGCACCTCCTCAGACGGTGACCTTTGAAAGGGTGAAAGGTAGGTCGGAGCCTATCACCTTTTACCTCGAAGAACTCCTCGGTGGGGCCCCCAACGCGGTCATTCCCCTGCTAATAAGAGCGAGAATGGCTAAATTTGACGTACATCGTGTCCTCGTCGATGAAGGAAGTTTCGTCGATGTAATATACAGCCAACTATTTCAGACTCTGCAGCTCGACGACTCGCACCTCTCGCCTTATGTGGGGTCAGACCTGCAAGGCTTTAACGGCTCGACTTCCAAACCTTGGGGATACGTCGAGCTCATGGTTACCTTTGGCGAGGATACAACAACAAGGCAAGTCAAGGTACGCTTCCTCGTCATCGACTGCCCGTCCCTCTACAACTGCATTTTAGGGAGGCCGACGTTGGCAGAACTGACTGCAGTACCCTTTAGCGTCCACTTGAAGATGAAGTTTTACACCAAGAGGGCGCGGGTCGCCACCATCCAAGGGGACCTAGCTGCTACCCGAAGGTGTTTCAACGCGGCATCCAAGGGACGCGACACGGTCGACACTAGGACAAGACCCGCCAAGAGACCAACAACGACACGACCAGAGCCCGAGAAGACAGAGCCCGTCAAGGCAGAAGAGCAGAGAGCTCCCCCAAAGGTTGACTCCATAGCCCTGGACACCCGCTTCGACCAGGATGAGCCTCCTGGTGGCGAGCAAGTCCCCCTCCGACCAATTCCGAACGGAGACTTCAAGCTCGTCCCTCTCGGCGAGGACGCGAGCAAAGGAGTGAAGATCGGTACCGGCCTCCCTGACCTGGAGAGGAAGCAGATCAAAGCATGCTTGCGCGAGAATGCTGACTTATTCGCGTGGAGCGCTGCAGAGATGCCCGGACTCAACCCCGAGGTCGCCTGTCACCGCCTCACCATAGATCCATCCGCTAGGGCAGTAGTACAACGTAGACGTAGGCAGTCTCCGGAGAAAACGGAGGCTGCTGAAAAAGCTGTAAAAGACCTCTTAGAGGCAAATTTTATTTCTGAAGCCCGGTATTCAACCTGGCTGTCAAATGTTGTACTAGTCAAAAAGAATAATGGAAAATGGCGAATGTGTGTTGATTATACTGATCTCAATCAGGCATGCCCGAAAGATGCATTTCCTTTACCAAACATAGACATGCTGGTCGGCAACTCGGCCAGTTATAAAATACTATCGTTCATGGATGCATATTCAGGCTATAACCAAATCCCAATGACCGTAAGCGACAAGCATTACACTGCTTTCATGACCAGCTCGGGCAACTATTACTACAACGTAATGCCCTTTGGTCTGAAGAACGCAGGGGCGACATACCAACGTATGATGAACAAAGTGTTCCACAACCAAATCGGGGACATGCTCGAGGTGTATATGGACGACATGATCGTCAAATCCCGAGCAGACACCGACCATGCAGCCCACCTCAAAGCAGTCTTTGCTCAAGCAAGACAATGTAAGATGAGATTCAACCTTGAGAAGTGCATATTCAGGGTCAAGGCAGGGAAATTCCTCAGTTTTTACCTGACAGAACGAGGAATTGAAGCCAATCCAGACAAGTGTCGAGCCTT